ACCTGAGTGTGTCTTTCACCGCGCGAGTTGGGCGACCCCCTGGCATCACCTTTCGGCATTCTGCGGGGGGCCGCCCTGCGCTAGCGCAGATGCGCTCCATACGCGGTGAGGGGAGGGGCGGGTTACGTACCCGCAACCCCCCACTCACCATTCAAGCCGTCCTCGGCATTTGCGCGGCGAGAGGCGGACACACGACCTCTCGCCGCACCCCTCCCGTTAGTTTTGGGGGGGGTTTGGGGTTGCCGACGGTAGGTATCCCCGCCTACCGCCGACCCCCCCCCCCGGAGCCCACTCTATCACCCATTGAGGGGCGGGTGAAGGGACGCCCCAGGACGCGCCTCCGAGATCGGAGGGCGCGATCCGAACGTCCCCGCCCGACCCTCCGTGGGTGGGTGGACTCCACTCCCATTTCCGGAGTTGATCCGGAGTAGCTCCTCAGGACAGCGGGCGGCCAGGAAGATTGGAAGGGGAGAAGTCCTTCCCTCCCGTGGCCGCCCGCGAGTGAGGGCGTTCCTACCCCTAAGTGGGAGGGGAACTCTTTAATTGAGATCCCCCTCCGGGACCCTGTATCTGAGGTGGGCAGGAGGGGGGTGGGGACGCCACCTGCGACCCCACCTTGCGCGTCTCCTCGGCACCTCTTCCTCCTCATCCTCCTCCGAAGGGGAGGTGGAGGGGGGAGCGCTACCACCTCCGCCTCCCCCTTCTGACTCTTTCGGCGGCCTCCTTCCGCCCCATAACGGAGGAGCAGAAGGAGTCTACCGCCTCCCAGGCCTCTTTACTCCCGACCATAGCTCTGACTACGGCCGGGAGAGAGAGGTCGCCGCCAACCACTGCGATCAGGACACCGCGATCGTCAGCCCACGCCTGGCAATCGGCGAGAGTGTGCTGCGCGGTGTCCCGATCGGCCATACAGTGGTGGCAATGCGTCGTACGCTCTTTCCCTATGCGACACAGGTACTCACCGAAGCAGCCGTGCCCGGTGAGCACCTGTGTCAGGTGGAAGTTTAACCCGCCGTGGCCCCTGTCCACCCATTCGAGGAGACAGGGGCGGATGGCCTCGATGGTCCGCCTGCCCGTTACATTGGGCCCCCCGAGTTGCCTTTTCCAGCGTCGGAGGGCCCTACACCGGGCCAGGGCACGGATCGGCCCTATGGTCCCGGCCGACAGAACTTCACCCTCGTCGCGGAGCCTCCTCAGACGGGTGTACGTGTCAGCGTACACCCTAGCGAGGAGGTCCGCTGGGATCATGCCGGCCAGGACCGTGACGGCTGCATGCGACACGGTCCGATAAGCGCGGGTGAGACGGTTGGCCATGACGCGCTGGGCGCTATTGACTAGCGCCCTGATGCGCCGGCTGGCCCCCATCTCACCCGCCCACACCGGGGCCCCGTATAGGGCCATTGAGTGGACCGTGTTTGCATACAGCCGTCTCACCATCGTTTTTGGACCACCGAAGTTGGGCAGGAGACAGGCAAGCGCGCCCGCCATCCTGCCCAGCCTGGGGCTAAGTCGTTCGAAGTGTTCGACAAAGCCCCAGGTTCCATCCAGGGTGAGGCCCAGGTATTTCAGCGCGGGCCCCACCGCAACGCGGGTATCTTCCACCATAATGTGGGCCTGTGGGGGCGGCCCCTCGGACCGAGCGTGCAGGAACAACGCTTCGGTCTTGTTGGGAGCCACCCTCAGGCCCAGCGCCCGAATAGAGCGTACGACGCATTCGACGGCCACATTGGCTTGGGCTGTCGCTTCCCCCCAGTCGGCGCCCCCGGACAGCACTAGCGTGGCGTCTGCATAGCAGACGACTGTGCTGCCCAGGGGAAGGGCTATCCTTAGGACGCGGTCGTATGCGAGGTCCCACAACAGGGGCCCCAAGACGGACCCCTGCGGGACCCCGCACCGCATGCCCCTTCCGCGCTGGAGTCCGTCTCGGTCGACGAACCCCAGAGTCCTCTCCCGAAAATAGGCCCGGACAATATGGACGAGGTAGAGGGGGAAGCGGTGATATCGCATCGCCTTCTCTACCCGGTCCCAGGGGAGGGAGTTGAAGGCATTTGTTATGTCTAACGAGACTGCCGCAACTACCTTCCCCTCCTCCGTCACGGCCTCCGCGAAGGCCCTCACACGGAGAATGGCATCCACCGTGGAGCGGCCAACGCGGAAGCCATACTGAGCGTCGCTCAGGTCCGGGCCCTCCTGGGAGAGGTGCCGGACGAGGCGGGCCACCACGATCCTTTCGAAAAATTTACCCACCTCGTCCAATAGGCAAATTGGCCTATACGCGGAAGGGGCGTCCAGGGGCCGGCCCACCTTGGGTATGAGGACCAGCCCCGCCCTTTTCCACCGACTGGGGAAAGTACCCGTCCTGAGGCACCCGGTGAAGATGTGCCTCAGGCGGGCCCCGACATCGGCCAAGACCAGGGCCCATGCTCGACCCGGGACCCCGTCCGGTCCAGGGGCTTTTTTCGCCCCGCCGAGCCGGCGGGCCGCCCGGGTCAGCTCGTCCCCGGACACCTCCCACTCTTCGTTCCAGTCCGGCGGGGGACCCCCGTATGGAAGAAGCGGCGGCCCCTCCTCCGGGAAGAGGGCCCCCACCACATTGTCGAGGAGAGGGGGTTCAAGACTTTCCGTCACCGGGGGCGCCCAGGGTCGCAATCTTTGCAAGATTATTCGGTACGGGCGCCCCCAAAGGTCCTTGTCCAGGGACTTGAGCATGTCCTCCCAGGACCTGACCTTGGCCTTCACAGTAGCTACGCGCAGGGCTTTCCGTGCGACTCGGAAAGCCCTGCGCGCCCTCGTCGCCTCGGCGACGTTCCCCGCCCTTCTGGTCCGCTGCATACGTCTTCTGGCCTGGACGGAGGAGCGCCTAAGTTCGGCTATCTCCTCCGTCCACCAGTACGCGGACCTGAAGGGCGTGGGGCGAACTCGGGGCATGGAGGCGTCGCACGCCCTCTCCATGTCTGCCCCGAGTTCCTCCTCCTCCTCCTCCACATCGTCCGGGGACAGAATGGGTCGAGGAGGATCGTCTCCGCGGGCCCACTCCGCCGCGGCGATGGACGCCTTGAGGGCGTCCTCGTCCATCTTACGGAGGGCCTATCTGCCGGGCCGCCCGCGCTCCCTTTCCCGGCGGTGCCGGAGCACCTCGGGGGAGATGGCGGAGAGGATCACCTCTATGTAGAGATGGTCGGAACCAGTGTCGATCCCCTCCGCCACCCTCAAACCCCCCACCGCGCGCACCGCAGGGCTATTGACCCATGTGAGGTCAATGATAGATTCGCCCTGCGGGCGCACGCAGGTGCTCACCGAGCCTTCATTGAGAAGGTGAACGCCGGTCGACGCCGCCCAGGCCTCGGTGAGCCGACCACGATGATTGGTGACCGGGGAACCCCACGCGCCAGATTTGGCGTTGAAGTCCCCGGCCACCACCACAGGGTGGGGGCACACCGTCTAATGACCCCCGCCACCCTGTCAAGATGCTCCTCGTAGTCGGCCCCCGTCCACCTTGGGGGAGCGTAAAGGGCGACCACTACTAGGGCCCCCCATTTCACCGCTACCAGGAACTCCTCGGCCTCTACGAGCGTCGGCCGGGGAGATTCCTGGCAACTCGTCCAATAGGCTGCGACCGAGCCACCCGGAAACCCGAACCAACGAGTGTCGTCGGCCGGGATCCGGTAGGGCTCGGTCGCCACGCCCAGGCCTGCCCCCCCGCTCAGCGAGCGAGTGGAGGAACAGGTCCTGGGCGATCCTTGTGTGGCCTAGGTTGGCCTGGAGGAGTTTAGACGCCATTTTTATTGGGCGCCGTGTTCACCTCCCCCAGGCCAGCCACCGCCATGAGCACAGGGGCTATTTCCGCCCCCCCCCCCCATGTCTCTCCGCCCACCGTCGGCGGGCGAGTCTCCTCCATCTGCACCTCGGTGAGGACCATTGGGTCCTCAGGTGCAGATGGGCCAGCCTCCTCTCTCCTGGATCTCCTATTGTCCCTCCTCTCCTTAGGGGGAGGGACTACTTGGCCCAACCCAGAGGGCCCCGCAACCGGCTCCTGGAATGCCGGTTGCTGCTGGCCGCCTTCCTGTGGGGAGTGGGAGGGAGGCGAGGTTCGGGCTTTCCCCGCTCCTTTCTTCCCCTTCCCCTTCTTCTTTTGGGAGGCGATACACGCCTCCCCACCCAAACGATGGGTCGCCTCTCTGCCGGCCGTGGAGCACACCGGACACACAACACGCCCGGTGCACTCGGCGGCCCGATGACCCGGGCCGCCGCAGCGGTAACAGACGCCGGACCTATCGACGTCGCTGCGGCAGTGCTGGCGGACATGCCCCTCTTCCAAGCAGCGGAAGCACTGCAGGGGCCTCGCCGCCAACACCTCTACCCGGGCCATCCCCCAACCGACCAGGATGCGGCCTGCCTCCGCGACCTTTCTGGCCACGGCGACGGGACACCGCACCCAAGCGGTTCCCAAACCGTTCGGGGCTCTCTTTATTCCCCCCACCCTGATGTCGGAGGGATCCCTTCCCGAGGCATCTGCCACGGCCGCCGCTATGTCCGCGACCGTGACAGTCCTCCAAATTGTGGAGGCGGACCTCCGCCTTTTTTGAAGGGCGGTCCACCCTGACCCCCTCCTCTCCCGCCAGCGCTACCCTGAGTTTGATGGCCAGGGTGTCGGCTAATTTGTCCCCCTCCGGGCCAGGGACCTCAAGCAGGAGGGCCCCGGTGATGGCCCTCTTGCACCTGAGGTTCTTTATCCCCAGCTCAGAGAGGGGGACCTTGCTCCTGGCGATGCGCATCACCTCGCTGTACTTGCCAGCTGGACAGGTGATGCACACCGCCGCGGACGTTGGCGCCTTTAGGCGCGGAACACCCTTCCCACCCTTTCCTCCCATTACCCCAGATGGATCTGGGGGGGTTTCCCACTCCCGGTCCCTTTCCTGGAGTCCGGGGGTGGACAGTTGCCCCCCTTCTTCTTCCCCTTGGCGGGTTGATTTTTCCCGGCAATAGGGGAAGGTTTAACCCCCCCTGAGATTGGTTGGGTCTGCTTGGCTCTCCTGCCAACCACCTTATTCCAGCCGTCCGACGTGGACGGCTGGGAGGAGGAGCGGGTCGCGACCCCTCTAGCAGGCTGCACTTTTTTCCCGGCCTCTCGTGAGGCGGCAGCGACTCCCCCCTTCTGGCCCTCCTTCTGGCCTACGAGCCCCCTCAGTTTACCCTCGGGGCCTCCCTGGGCACTTTCCTTCCCCTTCACTCGGGGAGCTGCCGGGGTTGAGAGGACCTGAGGCGCATCGCCCCCCCTTCACCTTCTTCCCCTTCTTCTTGTTCTTCTTTTTCGGGGCCTTGGGGCCCCCCTCAGTGGGAACCACTCCCGGGGACCGGGAGGGTTCAGCTGTCCCCCCGTCACGGCCGTTGGGGGGGAATGACGAGGGGCGGCGATGCTCCTCAGCCTCCACGACCATCGCCGATTCGGATCCCTCAGGCGGAGGTACGGGCGGATGGATGCCCATACTGGCAAGCAGCCTTGGGATGAGCTTCTCCACGGCCGCCTCCAGACCGGCATTGGAAG